TTACCAGCAATACATTAAATATTTAGTTACCATTTTTAGTTGTGTTTTGTGTATCATTTATTCTAATTTTTAAGTACACACACGACATTTATACGCACCTTAAGCTATGGTTTCCTAGAAAAGCGGTGCCGTTATCTAGCGGCCGTAATATAGCGTTGGGTGACGTCACTCATACGTTTTCTATAAATAACATCGGAGTAGGTTTCCTAGAGTACGTTGAGTGTCACCGTAACGTCAAATAGCGGTGCTGTCAGTTGTATGACGGCCGTCATAGCGGTGATATACAGTTGTTCAACGTTTTTTCGCGTGTAGCGGTGAACATTTATTTAATAAAATGAGTGGAAACGCGACTTGGACGAGCGAAAATAATGAACTATTAATTGATTTTGTAAAAGATAATGAAGCTTTATACAATATAAAATATAAAGAGTATAGACAAGCCCGGATGACACATTAAAATTTTAAATGCACCCTTAGTATCACGATATTTGAACATCACACTTTCCTCCGAACTATTTTTTCATCTTCTGATGACTCTTCATCCTCCAAACACACCAATAAAGCTATGTCCAGATCGTCCATTTTCCACCAGTGCACGACCTACCGCTCGAGTAAGTACTGATTAACTACAATTGAATGCGGTCACACCAGTTTCTAGGAAACCACAGTTTGATCACCGTAAAGACGGCCGTAACAACCGTAAAATGGCGGCCGCTAGATAACAGCACCGCTTTTCTAGGAAACCATAGCTTAATACGTTATTGATATAAATGTCAGCATATATTGTCGGCGATGCCGTGTTTCGCCAGTACGATTGTATTCGTTATAGTCGTTGTACCTATGTGTTTTTGTCGCGAATTTGCCCGTTTTTTATTCTAAGTTCTTTTTTGCGCTCTCACTGACGTTCGCCAATATTGAACATCGTCGTCGGGTCACTGTATACTTTCGTATCATGTCGGAAACTGAGACAGAAATTAGTACCCAAGAACGATTTTTTATGAAGCTTATGGAATTGGCGAAAGGAAAGGACAATCATTATATCATTACAAAAGATGCATAAAATTTACTTCTAAAAGAGGTCGAGGATGCGATATTAGTAACTAAAAAAAACATCTACTCAGTATAGAAGGATGAAACGGTTTAATGTTATAGAATTTGGCGGTACAAAAAACTGATAACCCGCGGTTATCCAGTTAAATTTTATTTGTCGGTGGAAGACATTTTTTAATGTCATTGATTTGACACACATCGCTATAGGACATGGAGGAAGAGATCGTCTAAAGATTGAAACTCCAAGGAAGTACGCCAACATCATCACTGGCATGATAAATATTTTTTTGTCCCTCTGTGAAACGTGCCAAAAAAAAGAAAAAGCTAGGAAAGAAAGGACTAGTTTCGAAAACAATTTTGCACACTGGGTTTAATAGTAGATGTCAAATAGATTTGATAGACATACAGTCGCAACCCGATGCACAGTTTAGGTTTATACTTAACTATCAGAATCATCTGACAAAATTCGTTCTGCTCCGCCCCTTGCAAACCAAGCGTGCAGAAGAAGTTGCAAGCCATGTATTAGATATTTTTTTTAACCTTTGGTGCTCCGGTTCTTCTGCATTCAGATAATGGAAAAGAATTTGTTAACAATGTGATTTTAGAGCTGACAGCGCTATGGCCAGAGTTAAAAAATTGTGCACGGAAAGCCTAGGCATTCACAAAGCCAAGGCTCCATAGAGCGTGCTAACCAAGACGTGGTGCGAATACTCGCTTCCTGGATGACAGACAATAAATCAACTAATTGGTCTATCGGATTAAAGTTCGTCCAATTTATGAAAAATAGAGCACACCACGCCGGGATAAATATGACGCCTTATAAAGCAATGTTTGGGGTTGATCCAAGAGTGGGACTTGTAACCTCTAACCTGTCCAATGAATTGATTACTACTATAAACGTCGAGGATGAATTTAAACGTCTCATAAGTACTGAAACTACAAGTGAAAATATGATTAGACAAAAAGCTGCAGGTAAAAATTTTTATTTTTATTTTTTAAATTATAGTTATTAAGTTTAGGTAATATTCATGTTTATTTCACAGTAAATTTTTTTTATTGCTGTTAAAATAAATGTTTTATTTACGTATTTTATAATATAAATACTGCCTATATTTTTCGAAAACTTTCAAATTATTTTTTAGTACAAAAATTATAAAAATTTTAACTTTTATACCTAGTTAAGGATTGAAAACTTAAAACAAAGATTCTTATTAATAGTTCATACTGTAACCAACAAATCCAATAAATACATAAACACGGTATATTTCTTTGATAAGTTTCAGATACCATAAATGCAATTAGAAAAAAAGCTCATGCAAATTTGGAAAAAACAGGCAACTCGAATGATGACTCGAACCGAAAACAAATTTCCTGCGGTTGAAGTTGGTGTCAACGTAGTAATCCGCATTCCAGATGTTGACAAAGGCAAAACCGATCATCCAAATCTCATCGGAATAGTGTTGGAAAAAAACAGAGTACGATCTATATAGAATCGGATGTAAGGATGGAATTCTAGAAAAACTTTATTGTAGGTGCGTCCATTATCAACTTTTTATTTAATAAATAAAATAAAATTAGATAATAATGAGTAATCAGTAAAAATTGTTTCAGGTCTGAATTTATAACATGTAAAGAAAAATTCATCACATATAGTCAAGTTCTAAAAAATCATATTTCCCTCCGTGTAGCTGCAACAAAAGCATCAACGGGGTCAGGGCAAGGATTTGTAAAATGCATATGTAAAACATCCTGCAGAACAAATCGTTGTTTATGTAAAAAAAAATAAAATTCTATGTAACTCTAAATGCCACGATAGTTTGTCATGTCAAAATAAATAATACAATAAATGTTTATATTTAATATGTACTTATATTTCTACATTTCCCTAGTTAAAACTAGTTTTACTTATCAATAAAACAATACGAATTTTCACTAGATAATTCTAGTTTTCACTACTATATTTTAGACACAACTAATTGTAACTAAATAATAATAAGTTTAAACTAGTTTTGACGATGATGGTCTTTGTAAATTCTAGTTTTAACCAGTTAAAACCAGAATTGACTAAAGGGATTTGTGGAAACTAGTTAAAACTAGTTTTGACGGATTTCGGGTTTTAACTGTAAC